TGTATAGTTACGGCGTAACGTCGATTCTGGGTCATTAAGTCGCATCTGGACGGTTAACTCGTTCCTTCTCTCTCTCTCTCTCTCTCTCTCTCTCTCTCTCTCTCTCTATCTCTCTTTCTCTCTTTCTTTCTCCCTTTAAGTCTATTTTTTTTCCTCTCTCTCTCTCTTTTTCTCTTTATCTCATACAGTCAGTCTTTCGTGTGCACACGGAGCCGTTTTTCCGGAAACAATATTGTGACGAGTACCATCGAAAAGGGTTCCCCGTTAAGGGACGAAGATTGAAAGAGAAAAGAAGAGAAGAAAAAAAGAAGGGGTTATACACCGTTAGAACTTTTTTCACTCACTCTCACTAACTCACTTTCTTTCTCTCTCTTTTTCTCACTCTCCTTCTATGTTTTTTCTTTTTTCTTTCTCAATGTTTAAACCTCTCGAAAATAAAAAATAGAACTCGAATGAAAGCACCGATCGTGGTTACAGCGACTCTATCGCATAATGACACTACGACTACCAACTACGATGACGGCTACTACTACAACTACTATTACTATTACTACGACAACGACAACGACGATGACGACGACGAAGACGTGATGAACATGATGCAACTGCCGTTGCGAGTATTATCCAAACACTCGTTTTATGCGTTACGTTGACCCTTTTTATTAGATATAATCCAACGCACGTGTTGTTTCATCCATATCATTCAAAAGAAAGGAAAAAAAAGAACGAAACAGAAAGATTGAGAGAGAGAGAGAAAGATTGATTATAAATTTTTGCTTAATCGAAACATTGGAAACAAAATCGATTGAATTATTTTTCATCAGAAACTATTGTGAAAGATTCGTAATTTTCCAGCTGATCCAGATCTAATTGATTGTGAGATTAGATCGAGATCTTAAATCTGATGGAAGTGGGGGAGAATGGGGTAGAGAGATGTATTGTGGAAAATCTCGTTTGGGAAATTGGAGAGACGGTCTTACCGAGTTTATACCATCTAAATAAAATCGATTAAAATCTTCTTAACGTACGTCCACGTATACACGTTCGTACTTTCGTACGTACGTACGTACATTTATTCGTTTATTCGTTCATTCGTCTCTGTTTGCAGGGTGTGTTAGGGCCAACGTACTCGTAAGCCCGTGTTTGCGATATAAAGGGTTATTCAGCCGAGTCCACGGATTAAATGATAAAAAAGGAAAGACCATGGTCTGAAATCCGGGGCCTTTTCAGGATCGGACTTTTTGAAAATTTTAAACCTTACCTTACCTCCCTCCCCCCTCATCACACTCTCTCTCTCTCTCCCTTAGGATACACGCGTATTCTTTCTGTCTGTCTCTCTTACTCTCTCTCTCTCTCTCTCTCTCTCTCTCTCTTAGGGTACACACGTGTTTTTCCTCTTTCTCTCTCTTCTCCTTGCAACAAGATCGACCGTTCCCCTCCTCCTCCTCCTCCTCCTCCTCCTCTACCTTCTCCTTCTTCTCCTCCTCTTCCTCCTCCTCCTCTTCTCGAAGCAAGTTTTAAGAACGACGAATAAAGGGTTGGACTGAAAGCCGCCTGTATTGAATATACCCGCTGGGGTGGCAGATGAGAGTAACAGAGAGTATGTGAGAATGTGTATGAGTGAGTGAGAGAGAGAGAGAGAAAGAGAAAGAGAGAGAAAGAGAGAGATGCTCGGAACCGGTGCACGTTGTTCCCCACGAGTTTCTCATATTTTTTAAGATTTGCCCTTTAAGCACTGTCACGTTTTCCTCGTCTGTCTTCTCCTTCTAGCCAGTAGCAATTCCTTTTTCGTGGCCATGTGGGTGGGTACGACCTCTCTTTCACATCCTATATGAAATTAGGTAGCCTTGAACAAACGTTAAGAAAGAGTTTTGGATGAGAATTTTTCTTTCATCAATACGCGTTAATCCAATGATCGACTACTAGGTTTTATTATTTACGAGTATTTAATTATATCATATTGAATATCTCAATTATGTTTTTTTTGTCCATAGAAATATTATCATACGTTAAACATATTATAAATATGTTTTCTATTAAAGAAAATTTGTTGAAAAAATTTCGAGAAAAATGATCATATGAACGATACAATGGAGAATAAAATACATCTAAAAGACAAATGTATTTGTATAATAAGAAAATAATTTAAATTCTAATATTCATTTAAAATTTTAATAATAGTAAGAAGAATATTTCGTTCGTTTTCGAATTTCTTCTCCCTTTTCGCGAACTCTTTTCTCTTTTTCTTTTTTTTCTTCTGTTTTCTTTTTTTCCTTCTTGCGAACGAACGCGCATACTCGTAGAATACATAAGAAGTTCCTTCTTCGCGAGAGGAGGAGGAGAAGGAAGAGGAGGAGGAGGAAGAGAAGAAGAAGAAGAAGAAGAAGAGAGTAGAAGGGGCCAAGCACTCTTTCTCCCGCCCCTCCTCCCACCCTGCTCTTTTGCTCGATGTACCACGCGTGGTGGAAGAAGCCCTTTTGCTCGAAGAAGAACCCTCGAGAAATATTCGACAATTTTTAAACTCGTTTCTGAACGCATTCAAAGAGAGCGCGAGAGCCTTGGCACAAGTAGCATAGGTATTTCTTGGAATCGACTTTGTCGTGGGGTGAGGGAAGGAAAGGAGGGTGGTGGGGGTCGTCGAATTCGATATCATCATCCTAACCCCTTTTCCTTCTTTCTTCATCTTTTCGTTCTATAAAAGGAATAATTATTCGAAATTATTCGATTTAATTTTTTCTTCGTGTACATTTTTCTTTCATTTTATTTTCATTTCTAAGACTATTAGAACAATTAGCTTATAAAAGTGTCCATTTATTTTTGTTTGTTTGTTTTTTTATCTTGTACTATGTGCTGCATGTGCCAGTAATTACGACGTAATGGAAACTAATTGTGAATCAAGCAATTTATTAATCTATTTTATGATTCACATTCTCGATAATGTGAATACTTTTAATCTAAAAATAAATTATTCGATTCATTAATTTTCGATATTTCTGCATAAGTCGTTTTAATAGCCAACACGTGTATTCTTAAATTAAAACATTTAGTTAACTACGAATTAACATTGAAAAAATAATGAATATGGATTTACTTTTTGGTAGTCCCAAAAGTATTAAAATCATTCCCGATTGGTCCGATAAAAATGTACATAAATTAATTTAATCGTTAATTTTAATTTCTATAATAATATGCTTCTCATAAATTAGAAAAAATGATAAAAATAATGATGACGATGACGATGAATAACTTTTTTCCATTTTTCTTTTTTTTCTTTTTAATTCGCACACCTTCGATTTAGATTCGAAAATTCTGATAGACTTCAATATCGAGACAAGCCGAAGGCGATCGACGTAAATCACGATCGATAGAACGTAATTGATCGGTCGACCGCGACCAGACAGCAGGATGACTCTTGCGGTGAAAGTGAACGATCGACGGGAAGCGTTACGTTGATAAAGCTACCGTTTCATTATTAAATTATTAATCGTCGTAGAAAGTACGAATTTTTAATATCGTCCGAATCTTGATCTTCCTTCAACTATCATTTTAAACGTATCCAAATGAAAAATGATATTTAATGAATGCTATACTCCAAACGAACCAAAAAAGATAGAAAAAAAAGAGTAAAAAAATAAAGAAAACAATAAATAAATAAACAATAACAAATCTATATACATTAATGCGAGCAAACGCGTAGTTTGCAATTTATTCTTGTATATTGAGTAATGTATATAAAAGAAAAGAAAAAAAATCTAACAAAAAAAAGAAAAAGTAAAGAGAGAAGTAAGATGAGTATAGACGGTAGCCACGTTCTGGCTGCTATATTTATAGCCCATCTCTTTCTTGGATTACCTTAAAGAAAGGGAAAGAGAATGAGAGATAATTATCAACGTACGATGATTGGTCAACGAACGAAATGTGTTTTACGTGGTGCATTTTCTTGCGTGCCTTACCACTACTACTTACTTACCTTCGAGCCTTTTAAGAGCTATGAAAGTTTCACGAGTGGAGTAAGGTAAATGCTCCTTCTATACGGGCCCAACGGGTACGCCACGGGTTTTTGCATACGCGTATTGCGATCGACCGATAGTTTTTTGCTCGCCTCTCCATTCTTTCTTCTTATTCTTTTTCTTTTTTTCCTACTCTTCCTCCTTTTCCTCCCCCTCCTTCTTCAACCACCACTTCTTCTCTTCTTTTCTCTCATTCCATGTTCTCTCTTTTATATCGTCTTGGTGTTGTTGAGCCCGGCTTGACCAGTTTTCGGGTGCACATGAACGTATGGGTTCGACGAACGACTCTTATAATTCTTGATTTACCTTTGGAAATCGTCCTACGTTAGTGTAGTTGAAAATACGCTCAATGATCCTTTGCAAAACTATTACAAATGATTTTGACAAATTTCGTTCTTATTCTTCGTTGGTAAAGCAGGAAATTCGTTTATCCTTCTACACAAGGGTTTGATGTATCTTATCATGTGCAAGTAAAGTAAATTTTTGTTTGTCGATATAGTAGGTTTCTGTGGTAGTCGATTATCCGTAAAGGACTGTTATTTTTTCGTGGTTTTCTTTTCTAAATAAATATCTTGTTTTCGACAAATCTTACATCATTCGATAAAAAATATGGAATACGTATCTCGTTTCACGGTCATGTAATGCAATGATAAGAGTCAAGTTTTCGTTATCTTTTCTTTTTTTTTGTTTTCCATGTTTATTTTATCAAAATAATATAAAAGAGATGCTAAAAAGTTAAATTTAGAATTTAGTTGCTGGTGCTAATGAACTTATGCGAAAAAAACTCTCTCTCTCTATCTCTAATGTCACTGATTGTTTTTTTTATATCCCGACTTTTTTCGATACCGTACGTCTAACGTGTGCCGCGATAATTTTTCGCGTTCGCGTGCAGTGATACAATAATACCGTTAAAACTTAAGGAATAAGATAAAGGCGTTGAGAAGGTAAAGAGACATTGCGTTTATGCTCCTTTTACTTTCTCTGTTTCAGCGCTGCTCAGGCAAAGCATGTCACCGGTAGCGGACAGCATGATCGCTGGTGCGAAATCATCGGTGTCGCAGCCTATAATCGATTACTCTCGATATGTCAGGAGATATACGTCCGGTCAGGAATGCGGTAGCTCTTATTGCAAGGAATTAGGATGTAGAGAACACTTTCATTGTCTCGATTGTAGTGGTAGGGTATTTGTGAAGAAGGAGGAAATGATTAGGCATTTCAAGTGGCACAAAAAAAGAGACGAATCCTTACAACATGGTTTTATGCGATATTCGCCAACGGACGATTGTTCGGAAAGGCATCCCAGTCGAACTTGTCCGCATAATCGAAAGCAAACTCACTATCATTGCATACATGAAAATTGCGACAAGGTTTACATATCGACCTCGGACGTGCAAATGCACGCGAATTATCATCGCAAGGATTCCGCGATCATTCAAGAGGGCTTTCAGCGATATCGTGCCACTGAAAGTTGCGCCACCGATCATTGCCCCTTCGTCGGACAACGTACGACGCATTTCCACTGTCGGCGGTCTGGATGTCGTTTCACTTTTAAAAATAAGGCTGACATGGGTAAGGCTTATATTCTTGGATATAATATTCATATAATATTCATATAATATTCATATAATATTCTCATTTGAATAGCTATATAGCACATGACTGATCGTTCCTTCCTTTCAGATAAACACAAGTCGTATCACATTAAGGACGAGCAATTGTCCCGAGATGGATTCAAGAAATTTATGAAGTCGGAAGCCTGTCCCTTTGAGCAGTGTAGATTTTCGCGTGTCTGCAATCACATACATTGCATACGACCACAATGCAGTTACGTTCTACACTCCTCTGGTCAGCTATTTTCTCATAAACGAAAACACGAGCGTCACGATTCTGAGATGGCTTATCGAAGGTACAAACAAATTAATGCCATTGGTGGGACTAGGCCGTACGGATCTTGGGCACCGGACGAAGTAAGCAATCAAGGATTATCGCTTAGTCTTAATGGGGAAAGTTCGAATGAAGATAGAGGTTCGCCATCCTATTACTCGTTGGACGATTCCTTTCAAAGTGCTAGCGATTTAGCAATGGATCTTACCGCTCCTACGAATAGCATGACGTCTACCAGTTCAATGGTAAGCATCGATCAACAACAGCAACAGCAACAACAACAGCAGCAGCAACAACAGCAACAACAACAGCAGCAGCAACAACAGCAACAACAACAACAACAACAGCAACAACAGCCACAACAACAACAACAACAGCCACAACAACAACAACAACAACAACAACCACAACAACAGCAACAACAGCATCAACAACAACAACAGCAGCAACATCAACAGCAACAACAACAGCAACAGCAACAACAACTTACCCCGGCGGAATTAGCTTATCTCGTTTCGGCCAATTCAGAATGCCCCTGTCAGTTAGGTAGGGATCATCACCATTGTGGATTGGACCGGTGCGGTGCTACTCTGAAGGATCCTCGCGAAGTAAGGGAACATTTGAGGGAGCATGAAACTCAGGAACGTATCACGGATGCCTTTTTCGAGGAAGGTGGCTGTGACGATGCCTGTCCGTACGCCGATAAAGAAAAACATTATCATTGTAATTGGGAAAATTGTCGAGAGGTCATCCTGTCGACGGATAAACCTTTTCGAAGACTTCAACATTACAAAATTCACGAGTATAGTAGACAATTAAATCTCTCTTGTCCCTCGCACGCGCTTTCATCCGACGTAACACTGACCCATCTGACCAACATTGATGCCATGTTCAGGCGGAAAAGAGGCAGACCACCGAAAAACAGAGTCATCGAAATTTGGTCAGGTGGAGATCCGGCCTCGCACACGCACGACTCTCCGCAAGCCATTTTTACGAGCTTCAAGTTACCTAAACCACAAACACCGAGTTTGACACCTACTCCGGTGACCGATGATCGAGAAGGTAGTGTTTCTCCTTCGAACAGTCTCGGTGAACCGGAAGGATTCGCCACGTACAATCCCGAAGGTTGTCCAGATCTCGCTTGTGTTTTACGTTCTACCAGGCATCATCATTGTTCTCAACCACGGTGTCATTTCTCCACCGATAGACCCGATCAATTGTTGATGCATAGCAAAGATTTTCATGACAACGTCGACATACCAACAGGATTTGCCTTTTTCGATAAAATGGTAGACTGTCGGTTATCGAGTTGTCATAGCAATCGAGTGAATCGACATTTTCATTGTACCAGACCTAATTGCGGATATTCTTTTGTACGATATTCGACGATGGCTCTTCACGAAAAACAACATTCTAGACATGTCGACGTTTGTACTCAAGAACCATCCAATAAAGAATGTCAAACTCAACTACAATCTTTTGTTCAAGAAACAAAACCAAGAATTCAGGTGAAAAATCCGGCTGATCTTATAGAAAAAACTGATGACAGCTTGGAAGAGAGCAGGTCAATGATAGACGAAAAAGAAAGCGAACTTCCTAGTCCGGACGCTAACAAGACGACCGGTGAGTTTTGATTCACAAGGAGGGCATACGAAACTGTACCTGGTTATCCTTGATTATTTATTTCATAGAATAAAGATATTTAAAAATTAGATCCCGTTCAGTAGCATTTTTATATAAAAAGACCTTATGTCGATTAAAAGAAAAAGAAAATAAGAAAAAAGTGAAAAATCAAAACTTGCATGTTGTTTTTTTTTCTATCTTTATTATTATTATTATTATTATTATTATTATTATTATTATTATTATTATTATTATTATTATTATTATTATTATTATTATCATTNCACATATAAAACCATTGACGTTGTTCAATATCTTTCTATATTTTATATATATATATATATATATAAACACACATATCCCTTTGTTTTATTTCTTTATTATTATTATTATTATTATTATTATTATTATTATTATTATTATTATTATTATTATCATTATTATTATTATTATTATATTACTACTATTATTATTATTTTGATTACAACTTATTTTTTGATTTTGCACGTAGATCGCACTGACGAGTGCGTGCTTAAATCTCGCACTCGTCCACTTATTTTTGAAAAGTAGATACCTCTTTCTTTCCCCTTTTTCATTCCAATTTATTTAGTATTATTATCATTTGTAAGTTCGTTTGTTTGTTTGTTTGTTTGCCTATCTGTTTGCCATCTTTCTTTCTATACACGGTGGTTGTAATTTTAGTGGGAGGTATATTTGAAGTGTTGGTTGTTTGGTTGATTGTTGCTAGTGGTGAGGGCGGCAGGCACCTATTATCCGGTCAGCGGACCGCCGAGCGAACCCGCACTTCCGGGCGTCGTGCTATCCATGCGAGCTTCCGTGCACCAAGGTTCGTTCTCCCTTCGACCAGGTTTTGTGCTTCGAGATTTGTCATATTAGTTTATTTACGAGTTAGACCGGCCCCAATTGCAAATCGTGAATCCGCGAACTAACTAAAAATGTCTTCCTTCCTATTGCAGAGTCAACGGCCATACCGCCATCCGGTACATCTACCTCATCCCACACGCTTTATGGGCCCGAGCAAAGCTGCAGCAGACCATTCTGCAAGTTGAAACGTAAGAATCACTATCACTGCAATGCCTGCAATCAGGCGTTCTCGGAACTGGATCGATTGGTCGCTCACATAGCCAAGCACTCGACAGGTGCTATCCTCAGTCAACAACAACACGATCTACCCAATCAGTCCTCCTCGTCGTCGTCGTCGGTGTCATCCAATCAACTGCAACACGAGTATCTGGCGCAACTTTCTCAGAAACCAGACTTCATGGCACAGAATGCTCAGATGGCGCAAAATATCCAGAATTTTCACAATCAAATGCAAAGGCAGATGCAGCAGACTCTGGGACAGATGAGCCAACAGCAGACACCACCGGTGAAGGAGATTAAACTGGAAAGTCCAAGATGTGCCACGGATATCGGTGTACAAAGTATGCCGAATATTAAGAGAGAGCCGAATATTAAGAGAGAGCCGAATATTAAGAGAGAGCCGACTGAGATTAAAAGAGAGGAAGTTGTTAATTCGGTGCAAGAAACCAATGAGAACAATCAACGGATGCCACCGCAACCATCGATGCCAGGAAACGTTCAACATTCTCCGGCACCAGGACCACCGCCTAGTTTCGAGCTTGATTTTAGTCACGGCTTTCATTTCGCGAGTCCAGCAGTAATGGCAGCAATGAATCAACAAATAGCATTGATGAATCAAGCTCTACCGCCGTTTCTTCAACACGGTGGCATGTATACCGGGGCACCTGGGCTAATGTTTGCACCTGGTTTACCACCTACCAATTTTCTTCCTCCAACCAGGGACGAAAATCCTTTGGCTTCTCTAGCGGCTAATCTTAATTTGAACAAAAGATCTCTTTCACCGCCGGACAGCAATTCGCCTGAAGCGAAGAAGCAACGGCTTCATCATTCGATGCGTATGCTCAAGGACGAGCCCGTTCCCGAAGGATACGTTAGGTTAGTAGTTTCCATTATAACCGAATATTTTACAGAAAAAATGTCATGTTCAATGATTTTTGTTTTGTTTTGTTTTGTCCTCTCTGCAGGTTCAGATTCAACGAAGATTGCCGGTACACGCATTGCGGTTACAGGGAACATCAAACCCACTTTCATTGCATGCGCCAAGACTGTGGTTACTCGTTTTGCGACAAGACGCGTTTCGTTCAGCATACGGCAAGGCACGAGCGTTTGGACACGCTAATGGGTGGTGATTTTCAACAGTACAGGGCCAACGTGCCCTGTGGTCGTGCTCAGTGCGCGTATACTTCGTCACTCGGTTCGATGCAAAACAAAGCATCGCACTTTCATTGTCTTAAATGTGAATTTGTTTGTACCGACACGAACAAGGTAGTTGCCCATAGACGTCAACATGCAAAATTGGACAGCATAGCGGCTGCGGGCTTCCAGAAATTTACGCCTAGTCAGCCGTGCGGTGCCGTGCAGTGTCAACATTCGGGCAAGCAAACTCATTACCATTGTTTGCAGTGTCAGTACGCGGTCTTAGGTTTGGCTCAAATGTCGGCACACAAGTACCGACACATGGACACTTAACGGAAAATTTATAGTGCAACTTCGAAGAAGATTTATCCCCAAATATACATCTATAGACATTCCTTAGAGAATTGATCAAAAAAAGGGGAAAAGTTAAGAGAAAATATTATATTCGTGATATATATTTAAACTAATATCTAATAGACATTCCCTTAATTCTCCCAAACGGTCAACAATTCACGAGTAACGAATTCGTACAACGCAGGGAGCTAGTCAGTGAAGTTGGACTGAGTTTAAATTCAAAGTCCTATTGAAAGTTTAGAAAAAAAATGTTATTGTTCCTTAACGTTTAGGAAATAAAAAGAGAAGAAGAGGAAGAAGAAGACAAGGAAAAGAAAGATCATCGAAGGATAGAAAACTCCTTGAGGGGTATCTTAACTTTCGCGAAGTTGAAAGAAACAAACTCGTGATTTCATTTTTCGCCTTTTCCCCTAAACACCTCCACCCCTCTTCCCCACCTCTCCCGACTGGCTAGAAAACATACCGAAAGGAAAGAAACTATGTAAGGAAAGACGTCCTCGATATACATACATAAATATATATATCGAAGAGTGGTTCAAGAAGACAATAAAAAAGCAAGAAGACACTCTTATCGTAATATACAATATACATATATATTAACGAAAAAAAAAAAAAATATATATATATATATATATATATATAGCACGAGAAAAGACAAACGAACAAATAATACTAATAATAATATTTAAAATAGAAATATCTTCTTATATATTTGTCCCCCGTTTTAGCGTCGCGTACTCTCCGCACGTGACTGTGATCCCACGTTAATCATTCGTTAGAGCTTCTTATCTTCAGACACACTTATATTTACATATATACACCATTTAATGTAAACATTACTCGAGAGGACTGACGAAGAAGAAAGAGAAGAAGAAGATGATGAAGTTGACTCGAATAAAATCAACGATAAGAATTGATAGACTAAACATCGACTATCAAAATATTATATTTCCATTTTTAGAAAGTAACGTGTTGTCTGGGGTAGGGATTAAATAGAAAATATATTTACTATGTGTGCTCGCTATTATATAAATAAAAAAAATTTTAAAAAATATATATACATATATATAATAAAAACGTTCCGAAACCAAAGAATAATGCAAAATCCATTAAAACTGCGTTGTTCGTAGCGAATGAAAAATTGAAACACGCATACATATACATATACATATTTCGTTATTGAGCCTATTTAGCGTTATTTTTCATTATTATTATTATTAATATTATTATTAGTATTTTATTAGTATTTTATTAAGATTATATGATTATGATTATGCTTATAATAATAATTATTATTATTCTTATTATTATTTTTATTATCATTATTATTATTTTCTTTTTCGTCAAAACGATCCGCAGTCTCGTAAGGGTTTTTGCACAGAAAATATCGAGACGTACTAAATGGAAAATTTATTATATATATATATATATATATATATATATATATGTATAAGTATGAATGCATGTATGTATAAAAATCATTTAGGTTCGCGAGCCACGATTCAGGAGAGTACGTGCATTTTTAATAATCGTATTACAAACAGTATTGTTGAACTGATAGTTAACAAAAAGACTGCCAGCCGAGATGTGTGAAAGAGAATGAAAGAAAGAGAGAAAGAGAAAGATAGATAGAGAGAGAGAGAGAGAGGGAGAAAAATAGAACGTGTGCGTGCGTGTGTGTGAAAGAGAACGAAAGAGACAGACAAAAAAATAGAGAATGAGAAGAAGTAACGACAAACTAAGGGATTGTTAGCAAAAATATTAAAATAATAAAAAGAAATGCAAACCTACAACAACTAAAAGACATGAGAGAGAGAGAGAGAGAGAGAGGGAGAGAGAGAGTGAGAGAAAAGGCAAGAATTTTCTTTAAACTCGTCAACGTGACGAAGTTATGATATAAAAAAATTATATATAACACACATTTAACCCTTTTTTTCACATACTTTGATACGAATATCGTTCGTACGTACTAAAAGGGCTTACACGAGTGTCGTTGAATGATACGACCTCCTATGGTTGGTTGATAACAAAAGGGTTAAAGGATATAAAGATAAACGTATACGAGGATAATAAATATATTATATAGAACAAAAATGTGAAGAATCACTAAATAAATGTATGACAAAAGTATATCGGGAAATATACTCGAAAATAAAAGAAAAAAAAAACAATCAATGCCAAGAGACAGAAAAATTAAGTGAAATATTGGATAAAAAAATTGTTTGATATATTATTATTATTATTATTATTATTATTATTATTATTATTATTATTATTATTATTATTATGTGTATGTGTATAATGTATTATGTATTTTATAAATTATGCGAATTATTGAATCGTTTGGTGATGTATTTTAAAATGTAAAAGGATTTTTTCACGCTTTTATTCCCGGTGAATACTCAAACTAGAAGGTTTAACGGATCCTGTGAATGATTTTTTTTTTAAATTCTAATATATACATATTATATTTTACAGAAAGAGACAAACAGAGAAAGTGCGCGCGAGAGATACAAAAAAAGAGAATTTGTTAAATTTTCGTACGATACCAGTTTAAATTTTTCTCATCGATCGGGCTATCGATTAATCAGATTATTCGAATATTGATTTTTCTTGCAGATGCAACTAATTTGTTTAAATTCTAAATTTTATTATTATTATGTTATTATTATTATTATTATTTTTATTATTTTATAATATATTTTTTTTGCGATTATATAGCACAGATCGAATAAAATTAAATGAAAACGTTTTTATGTTCTTTTTTGTTTTTGTTTTCATTTTTGTTTCTTTTTCTTATTATTATTAATATTATTATTATTATTATTAATATTATTATTATTATTATTATTATTATTATTATTATTATTATTATTATTATTATTATTATTATTATTATTATATTCGAGAAACAAAATAAAAATATATTATATATCAATGAATTGCAAAGCAAACGTACGACTTTGATTTTTTTTTTTTAAATACGACGAGTTTAATTATCATGTGATTAGAAAATAAACGAAGATTTAATTAATTAGAAGAAGATAAAAAAAAGTAAGTGAAAGAAAATATTTTTTTGACGATGTAAATGGTAGAAAAAAACGTAGATGATACACTTAAATATTTCACCTATTAAAAAAAAAATTAAAATCGCTGGAACGAAACCACGCTTGGGTGCCTTTAGGGTTTTTTTTCCATATCGACGAACGAAAATGAAAGAAAACAGGAAAGAGAAAAAGGAAAGGATGAACAATAAATAAATATAAAACTCGTAGGATCGTGCCTTAGAAAATAATTACTGTTTTTAAACAACGAAATCTCAAAAGAAAGATTAAGAAAGAAAGTTAAAATCAAGAATTCGGCGCCAGAGAAAAAGAGAGAAAAAGAGAGAGAGAGAGAGAGAGAGAGAGTCAAAGAAAAATAAATTAAAAAAGAAGAAATGAAAATAATCGGAAATCGATCGCATACATAGAAATTTTATCGTTGATAAATAGAAACTGTTATCGTTGATTACATATTTGTAAATGTTAGTGCCTTAATCAAATATCCAGATAGATGATGAAGATCAATAAATAAATCATACAATATATTAAACAGATATTATTGCTAAAAAGTTTCAATTAATTTGCGAATGGCTTCCGATTAATTCAATTATATAATAATAAAGAAGCTTCTCAAATATTTCCGTAAATATTCATATCACGATATATTATCATATGTATACTCTCATTTACATATTTACACCTGTATAATGTTGTCAAACTAGTTCTGAATGAATGAATTTTCAATCTTTTCCTATTCATGAATATTTTATTTTTGTTTAAAATTTCTACCAAATAAAAATATTGAGAAGCTTTAGAAACATAATCAAATAAATAATTTTTTTTTTATTAAAACAAAAATTTAACGTAAAAAAAATGAAAACCGTTTCTTGAAAATAACTCGACAAATCATCAGAGCCGAAAAGCCGGCTAACAACCGGTAAATCGAGAAATCGTTTTTATAAGAAAGAAATGAATAAAAGAAAGAAAGAAAGGAAAACAAATAAGAAAAAGAAATAAGCGCATATTTATAAAAGTAATAATAATTATTTCTGGTTAATTAATTTTGGTCTCGTTTAGATTAGACAAACCCAATGATCCCAATTATGGCAATTACCCGGATATTATAAATTAAATTTGCAGACGCCAAAAAAAAAAATGAAGAAAGAAAGAATAAAGACAAAATATCCGATAATTTAAAAAAAAGCGTGGAAACAGACGGCTGCTACGAAATGACCGATAAAATCGATAATAGAATATGTTCGACTTCGATCACGTTATGGACTGTTCTCGAGCTGGTGGTTTCTCTGAAGGATGATCTTGTAAAAAAGAAAAAAAGAAAAAAACACGTACACTTTGTAACGATGTTCAAAGTACTTCCAAATTTTTATAAACGCGTAAATACCATATATATATATATATATATATATATATATATATATATATATATGTTTACTTTATAATTAACAGACTAATTATTATCGCGTTAAATGTTACGAATGCATAACCTTAGTAAACTCTGTTTTCAAATTTTTATCAAAACTTTTTATGCAAAACTATTATTCATATGTTGCATACGCATACATAAATGGCGCGCGTACATACGCGCGTATGTATTACAATTATCGTTTTTCTTTCTTTTATTTTTTCATTTGTTCCTTTCTTCTCTTGTTTTCGATCTCTGGAGAATTGTATGCGTCAGATTTAAGAGGGTTGCATTTAAAGAATCGCAGCGGCGCGTTATCCTATGACTAAAAAAGAGTTTTTTGGTCAATAAAGAACCCTGAAAGTCTCTTAATAATAATTTGTAATTTCGATTCCGTATTTAAGGGGAAAGAAAAAAGAGAACAAAGGTGAAGACAAAAATTGGACGTTATACATCAAACGTATACAAATTTGTCCGGTGGCCCCTATGAAACACCATAACGCGTTTGCTGGAAAACCTTCCTTTCTTTTTCTTTTTTTTTTGCAAATATATATATATATATAACATAAACTGACGAATAAATGAACGAACGAACGAAACGAACGAGAAAAAGGAAGATAAGAAGAATCAAATGTAATAGTAGCATTCCACATAGAGAAGTAACACACGAATCGATAGTCATGAAGATTCTCTTGTCCCCGTTGTTTGCATGCTTACAAGTTTGCTCGTCGTTCTTAGTAAGCACCCGGCTAGTCTCGATCACTGCTATCAAATATCTCGTTCCTGATCGAACGAAAGACGATATCTTTGTGAAAATCAGACAGCCAAAGTACACAAACACCACGCGCACAAACACACACACATATGTAAAAACATGATGTTGTTTACACGAATAAAGAGATATGTATACGTGTAAGTAGGATTAAAACGTATATGACTAAACGTATATACAACATACTTACACATAATCAACGGGGATTGGTTTAAAGTCCAGCCATTTAAACGAGTGCCATAAACCACAAACGTAAAATCTACAAGGTGAAAGAGAGATATACGTTTTTACATTTACGTTAAGAGAACAAATAAAAAAAAAGGAAAGAGAAAAGGAGATAAGGGAAATAATAGTATTGAAGCGTGAGTCGAGAGATTGGGGTTTCTTTTTTTAAGGGTGGGAAGGATTATTATTATTAATATTATTAATATTATTATTCGAGAAAATGGAAGAAATGTGTAGAGAAACTATCAAAAAACAACAAAAAATAGTAAACTCAAAACTGTAACATATTTATTTAGTCTCAAGTAGTAATAGTAATAGTGATACATGGACGTGGACAAGTGTCCGTTTAAAGGGCAGATTATAAAAAATAAAAAAATAAAGAGCGAGAGAGAGAGAATGT